AAATTTTGGAATTTTCTCATTTCCGTTTGAAATTCGTCGGAATTTTATTCTATATGTTGGAAATCTCTCGGAATTTTGTGACGGATTTCGGACAACCCCTCTAAAATGGAATTTTTGGTTTAAATCGTAGGTAAACTTTCTCCAATATATAAAAAAAAATTAGCCTTACCATGTTGAAGTTTAAAATTTCTTTATTAATATGTGTTTTGTTAAATTTATAAAATTTAAAGTTTATGATAGTAGTGTTAGTATAACTTCTACGAAATGTTTTTTGAAATGTATATTAAATGTAATAAGAGTATAAAACTATATTAACACATTTACGGGTTGTTCATTTACATTTTTTGAGAACAAAATATGTAACATATGATTTTACTAAACTATTTATAAAGTTTGTGACAGTAGTGTTAGTATAACTTATAGGAAATTTTATGTGAAATGTATATTAAATGTAATAAGAGTATAAAACTATATTAACACATTTACGAGTTGTTCTTTTTTTTTTTTGAGAATAAAATATGTAACATATGACTTTGCTAAACAATTTATATCAGTTTTAAACTTTATATCCTAAATATATAATAAAGTCATTGGAAATCTATCAAGATTTTATCATATATGTTGGAATTCTGTCATACTTTTGTGACGATTTTCTAAACAATTTATACCAATGTCGAACTCTATATCTTACATATATAATAAATTTTTCGAAATTTTATCATATCCGTTGGTAATCCATCGGAATTTTATTCTATCCGTTGGAAATCTCTTAGTAATCCGTCAGAATTTTATCCTTCCGACGACCCCTCTAAAAATGAGATTTGTGGTTGAAGATTTCGTTTAAAATTTTGTTAAATCGTAGGTAAACATTCTCCAGTATATATAAAAATTAGCCTTAAGATGTTGAAGTTTTAAATTTCTTTATTAATATGTGTTTTTGTTTAATTTATAAAATTTAAAGTTTATGAGAGTAGTGTTAGTATAACTTCTACGAAATGTTTTGTGAAATGTATATTAAATTTAAAAGATTATTAAAATCTATTAACACATTTACGGGTAGTTCATTTAAATTTTTTTTGCGAATAAAATATGTAACATATGACTTTACTAAACCATTTATATCAGTTTCAAAATTTATATCCTAAATATATAAGAAATCCATCGGAAATCTATCAAGATTTTATCATATATGTTGGAATTCTGTCATACTTTTGTGACGATTTTCTAAACAAATTATATCAATTTCAAACCCTATATCCTAAATATATAATAAAGTTTTAGGAATTTTATTATATCCGTTGGAAATGAGTCAGAATTTTGTTACAGATTTTCGACGACCTCTCTAAAAATGCGATTTGTGGTTTAAGTTTTCTTTTAAAATTTGTTTGAATCGTTGGTAAACATTTTCCA